GAGAGAGAGAGAGAGAGAGAGAGAGAGATCCAGAAGGTGAAGAAAGCCTAAGGCTTTGGAAGTAAACAAACTTGCCAGGAAGGCAGATAGCATGAGGACTTCAAGTGAAGAGTCTGAAAAGCAGATGAAGAAACACTGGAAAAGGTGAATGAGGTGGCTTCTGAAAAGTGGTTCTCTGTGAAGGAACTTGGTTTTACTCTAGCATCTTTTAATAGTAATCCTGCCCCAGTAGGGATGTTATACTCAAATTGCTCTTTATTATCTTTATTATACTTTTTGTGAAAAACAGAAGCTTGAACAGTACTTTAAATAATAAAGATTCTTATTAGGTTCAATGAAAACAGAAAAATATATGTTGTATTAGTATATATGATATATATGAAAATTAAACTCTTTTATGTAACTTTAAAAATTAAATTTAAATTGTAAAAAGAAAATCACTTCTACAAAAAAGAACATTTAGTGGAAGAGATAACATTGATTCATTTTATTCCAAATCTCCTTGATGTTTAGCTTAATAGAAAGAGCTAGACTATTTTATCTGCTTTTGTATCACTCTGCTGTAATGATATGCTTAAAAGACAAAAGCATTTTAGTAGCCTGTTTAGGAACTTGTGAGTATTGTTTCATAACATTCCAAAATAGGACAAGAGACATTTCTTTGAGGATAGTTCCAATATCGAACCTGAGACTGTATAATGTACATTTTGAGTCCTATTATATAGAAAAATTCTCTAGTTACTCCTTATTTAAAATGGAGTTTTTATTCATGCATGCTTTTGCAACATTATGGATTGATATTTGAAAAATGTTATTTCACTACACTATTTAGACCTTCCAAGTAGTGACATATTTTTATGATATAGAATAAAAATCATACTTGTTACTAGGTTTTATCAGGAAGATATTTGTGTCATGAAAGCTAAAAAGTTAATAGTGATAATAGTGACACATACAAGTTTTCCAAAATTCTAATTTTTACTTGAAAGCTTGAAAAAAAATTTTTGTTAACTCCGTTAACTTACCTTCTTTGAAGTGACAGGTTTATTGTTATTAATTTTAGAGAAATATTTGCTAAAAATCCCCAAACTGAATAACCAAAAATTGTTAGTGATTCTGTTTTGTTTTTAAGATAAGGTATTGCGGTGTGGTGGTTTGAATGAAAATGGCCCCCATAAACTCAATATTTGAATGTTTGGCTCACAGTTGATGGACTATTTTGGAAGAATTAGGAAGTGTGTCACTCAGCTACTGCTCCAGCATGATGCCTGCCTGCCTGCCTGCCACCATACTCCCTGCCATGATGATCACAGACTTACACCATGAAAGTCTATGCAATCCCCCAGTTAAATGATTGCTTTTATAATATATCTTGGTCACATGGTGTCTCTTCACAGCAATAGAAAACTAACTAAGATATGCTGTATCTTTTGAGGCTTATTGCTCCAGCCTTCTGAGTGATGGGATTACAGATGTGAGTCTCCATGTCTGGCCTGCCACTAATTCTTTTAATAAAAAATGTTGTGTCATGGAAAGACTAGTTTTCAATGGCACAGATGTTTGTCCCTGAGGTAATTGTAGCTCAGAGGCAGCAGAAGTGTGTCTCATTTTGTCATGTGACAGACGTAGCACCCCGTCCCCAGTTCTCAAGGGTCAATATTTATAATACTAAAAATTTTCCTACATCATGTAAGACATTCATAGACAAATTAGAATTTGGATAATTGGGGTGCTAGTGGTCTCATCTCATGCACTGTCAAATCCTCAGGCTGGTGGTACAAAGTTGTACAAGGTTAATGATTTAAAATCACACACATCATTCCCATATTGTTCTTCATGCCAGAAGTCTGAAGTAAGTTTCACTTCACTTAAATGAAGGTGTCAGTAGGTCTAATCTCCCTGTAGAAGTGTTAGGAGAGAATCTGTTGCTTTACCCTTGGGGGAGTCTGTACTTGTATTTGACTCATAGTTCCTTCTGCCAGCCTTCAAAGTGCAGCCCCCTCTTTTTGCCATAGCAGTCATTCCTGCCTTCTGTTCAGTTCTTCCTCTGCCCTGCCAGAACTGCTCATCCTGGAGAAACAGAATGGATGCCCACCTGTAAAGTATTTTAGATGTCCAGACTTCTGACTATACACTCATCCACCCAGGATGTAGGAAAATGTGTGTGCTGGGTGTGGTGGCCACACAGCTTTAAGCACCACATTAAATGTAGAGCGCCAGGGATCCACTTGGGTCTGTCTGAAGGTACAAATATGCTTCCCTGTCCTCTTTTTACATGGCGGCAAGTTATCAAGCTCAGATTTTCATTGTTTCTGGGGCAAGAACAAACTTTATAACAGCTATCTCCTTGGCACTCGAAAAGGTTTTTAACTAGCGTAATTGAATATTTTAAGGGCACAGCATTGCAATCTCCCCCCCCCTCTCCAAGCAAGTCTGAAGGAGATACATGAATGCTTAGCTCACTTTTCCTGATTTACTCATCTGTGGACCTCTGTTGTTGTTTGGTCTTGTGTGGGGCTTTGCCACCCAGCTCCCAAGTAAATCACACATGGAGGCTTATTCTTACTTTCAAATGCCTGCCCTTAGCTTGGCTTGTTTCTTGCCAGCTTTCCTTATCTTAAATTATTTCAATTACCTTTGCCTCTGGGCTTTTCCCATTCTCTTATTTCTGTAAATCTTACTCTTACTCTGTGGCTTGCTGGTTGTATAGCTGGGTGGCTGGTCCTTGATGTCCTCCCCTTCTGTGGCTCCTTCTCCATCTTAGATCCCTCCTCCCAGTTTTCTCCTTCTATATATACTCTCTGCCTTACAGCCCCACTATCCTTTATCCTGCTTTGCTATGGCCAGCTCTTTATTAGACCATCAGCTGTTTCACATGGGCATAGTAACACAGCTTCACAGAGTTAAACAAATGCAACATAAAAAAAAAGTAATACACCTTAAAATAATATTCGCCAACAGACTCAAGAACATTGTTTGGGGCTCTCCACATTCAGGGTGTGTCTTTCATCTTTACTTAAAACTTTCTGAAAACACTGTTATAAACATACATGTTTCCATACAATTCTGTTTTTTTCTTTCTGAGACAAGGTCTCACTATGTAGCCATGGCTGTCCTGGAAGTCACTATGTAGATGAGGCTGATTTCAAACTCACAGACACCCACATGCCTCTGCTTGATTGGTGATTCTAAATATAGTCAAGTCGTCAGTGAAGATTCATCATCGTAACTATATAGTACTTTTCAATTCATATATATATATATATATATATATATATATATATATATATATATATATATATGGTTTTTCAGCACAGGGTTTCTCTGTGTAACAGCCCTGGCTGCCCTTGAACTCACTCTGTAAACCAGGCTGGTCTCGAACTCAGAGATCCATATACCTCTGCCTCCCAAGTGCTGGGATTAAAGGTATGTATCACCACTGCCTGGCTCATTTCTAACACATTTAGTTATTTTCCTGTCTTATTGCCTTGTCTGTGACCTTCAGTTTAATGATGTATGATGGTGACAAGAAGATATTCTTGGCAAATTTATTCTTGCCTTCTTCCTAACATCAATGGAAATGCCTGTAAAATTTCACAATAATTTAAAGTACAGATGGTTTGGGAATCCCTTTTTATTTTTAAGCTCATTTCTATTCCTGATCTTAGTTCTTCCTCACATTTGAAGTTTATTTAGTTCCAATAATCTCTATAAAAATATCTTGGGCCTGGGGAAATCTTGCCAGAGAAAAAGAGGAGGATCTGGAGAGATAGCTCAGTTAAGAGCACTGGCTGCTCTTCCAGAGAACTCAGGTTCCTTTTCCAGCACCCACACAACAGCTCACAACCTTCTGTGACTTCAGATTCAGAGTATCTGATGCCCTCTTCTGGTCTCTGCATGCACCAGACACGCAAATGGTGTGCATACATGTATACAGGCAAAATAATCATATGTATAATGTTAAAAATAAATAAAATTTAAAACTCCATTATGTTCCATATTTTAGGACCTTTGAAAGTTGCATGTCTACACAGTTAAAATAACAGAAATGAAGTTAAAGTTTAATTTTAAAAATACAGGCTCCTGCTCCTCCCTTTTCCAGAGACAGTCACGTTATCTTATGTCTCCCTGAGACATGATGGTGAAAGTTAGACCGATTGAATTTGGTTGTATTGGGTGCCCGGTTACCAGGGCTGTCTTCAACTCTGGCAAAGTAGATAATTTTGCTGCCAATGACCCCTTCACTGACCTCAACTACTTAGCTGTCATGTCCCAGTATGACCTTACCCACAGCAAGTTCCACGGCACAATTAAGGCTGAGAATGGAAAACTTGTCATTAACGGGAAGGCCATTTCCATCTTCCAGGATTGGGATCCTGCCAGAATCAAGTGGGGTGATGTGGGTGCTGAGTACGTTGTGGAATCTAATGGTGTTTTGACCACCATGGAGAAGGCTAGGGTCCACTTGAAGGGTGGAGCCCAAAGAAAGGTCACCATGTCTTCCCCTTCTGCTGATGTCCCCATGTTTGTCTGGATGTCTCAGCTGGTCTTCAGTCTATACCAGAATCCTGAAGAAGCAGGCTCCAATGCCAGTGAAGGAATGGACTTGCCAGCATGAAGAGGGCTAGCAGGCAAAGGGCAAAACTTCTTTCTTCCATGTCATTTATATAGACTGCTACCAGAAGGTGTGGCCCAGATTAGAGCTGGATCTTCCTGCTCCAAAGATCTGGATTAAAAGTGGGTCTTTCCCCAGGACTTATCCTGGGTGCATGAAGTGGATTTTTGGAACACATTCCCTGGGGTGAGATACCTTGCTCAGCCTTGACATAGGGGGAAGGGGCTTGGGCCTGCCTCAACTTAGTATGTTAGACATTGTTGACTCCCCAAGGGAGGCCTTTCCCTCTCCGAGGAGTGGATGGAGGGAGGTGGGGGGGGAGAGAAGGGGAGGGAGGGGGAACTGGAATTGGTATGTAAAATGAAAAAAAAAAACTTAAAAAATGAAGTTAATAAAATAAAATAGCTGTGAAAATACTGCTTATTATCCTTAACTTTTAAAAACTGATTGGTAAAAAGAAGATTTAATTCTTAAAATGCCTTGGTTTCACTGGTGGAATATATATCAACATTCTGTAAATGCATCTTACACATAGGTCTGTTATATATAATAGATAAATAATTCCAACAGGTTGTTGTTATGTACTTGTTTATATACATATAAATATATGTAACAATAATAATAAAATAAAACTAGGCTAGGAACTTGAGAGTGGAAAGAGAAATGGGAAGGTGTGGATGGAAGAAAGGGAAAGGGGTGAGTGTTATAATTCTATTTTAATTAAAATGTATAAAACTAATAAATACATTGAGTCAAAAAAAGTGGGTCTTTCCTTTCAGTGGAGGGTCTGGGACACCAACCCAGGCACAAACTCTTTTTTCACTTTATTTTTTATTTTATTTTATTTTATTTATTTATTTATTTTTTTTGAGACAGGGTTTCTCTATGTAGCTTTGTGCCTTTCCTGGATCTCGCTCCGTAGACCAGGCTGGCCTCGAACTCACAGAGATCCGCCTGGCTCTGCCTCCTGAGTGCTGGGATGAAAGGCGTGAGCCACCACTGCCTGGCCCTTTTATTTATTTATTTATTTATTTATTTATTTATTTATTTATTTATTTATTTATTTAAATTGTAAATGCCGAATGTCATTTATTGAAGGAGGGAGGAGGTCTTAAATACAGGCTTACAGCACAATGGGAGAACCCTGGAGGGCAGAAGTTCACTACTGATGTTTTACAATCTTGCATCTAAGCTGTTAACGCCCATTATTCAGGATACACAGACAAGGAACTTCCCTTAAGCATTCAGGAGGGTGGAACCTGGCAGGGAATTAGCATAGGGAGGATATCAAGGTCAGGCACAAACTCTTTGCTATACAATTTGCCCTGCCTACAAGATGTGCTGGCATAAAGATGGAACAGAAATTGCAGCTGGAGATCCATACCCTGAGAGGGAGCTTCCCTGTGAGGGCCAGGACCCAGAAGTGGGATACCCCAGAGACCTAGGATAAAACTGAACACAAATGGCAAAAAAGTCAATGAAATGATTCCTAATGATATACGGTTATACTCATAGATTGATGCCCAGCCCAACTGTCATCAGAGAGGCTTCACCTGGAAACTGATGGAAACAGATGCAGCAACCCACAGCCAAACATTATGCAGAGCTCAGGGAATCCTGTGGAAGAAGGGGAGAAAGGATTGTCAGAGCCAGAGGGGTCAAGGACACCACAAGAAAACCCACAGAATCAACTAACCTGGGTTCACAGGGCTCACAGAGACTGAACTGACAACCACGGGACTGACCTAGGCCCTCTGCACATATATGTTACAGTTGTGTAGCTTGGTCTTCATGGGGGACTCCCATCAGTGAAATCGGGGTTGTTTCTGATTCTGTTGTCTGATTTTGGGACTTGTTCCTCCTGCCAGATTGCCTCATCCAACCTTGGTGGAGGAGGGGGTGCCTGGTCTCACTGAAGCTTGAGATACCATGGATGGCTGATATCCATGGGATGCCTACCTGTATCTGAAGAGAAACTGTGAAGGAGGAGTGTATGGGGCAGGGGGAGGTGAGGTGAGGAGGACTGGGAAGAGGGGAGGAAGGGAATAAAAATAAATAAAATAAAATAAATAAATAAATAAAATAAAATAAAATAAAATAAAATAAAATAAAAATAAAGTGGGTCTTCCCACTTCAATGTACCTGTGTGGTGGTTTTTTATTTGTGCTGAAATGTGATATTTTATTTGTATGTTAATAAGTAAAGTTTGCCTGGAGATCAGAAGTCATAGCCATAAACAAAAGTCAGGCGGTGGTAGCACATGACCTTAATCCGATCACATGGCAGGCAGAGTCGCTGTGTGGTCAAAGACACAGCCAAGCGTGGTGACAGAACCTTTAATCCCAGTACCAACGATAGAGACCTGTAGGTCTGTATAGACAGGCAGTGATGGTGTGATGTGGCTGGGCTTAGAGCCAATGAGAAGGCAGAACAGGAAGGCAATAAAGGCGCAGGTTAGACAGGAAGAAGCTCTCTTGGGAAGCTATGGTGAAGTGGTGAGCTAAAGTTAATTTGGTGGCTATCATTATTGCTCTGATCTCTATGGCTTGCACCCCTGTATTTGGCTCTGTGTTTCTTATTTAATAAGACTGTTTAGAAATTTGTCTACACACCTGGGTTAATGCCGGTTAATTCCAGATGTCGTCAATTCCAGAATAGCCATCATAGGCCCACTAAAGGGCATCCTGAACTCTATTGAGGACCACATTTACTCTAGACCTTTGAAGCTGGGGTTGGTATCCTGGTATCCTGGTATGATAATGAATATAGCTATAGCCACAGGGAGGTAAACCTCATGGCCTATATGGCCTCCAAGGAGTAAAAAACCCTGGACCATACATCCCAGCAAAAACACAAGAGGAAGAGAGAGGCCTTCAGCTGCTGAGGATTCCTAGTCCCTACTCAGGCCCCAGTACTGAGCATCTCTCCACATATTTTCTATGCCAGACATCCAGGAGAAGACGATGGGGCTTACAGAGTCTTTCTCTCTTGAATGCCATCAAGAAAGTTCACTGCACCTGCCAGTATATTCATGGTTTCAAACATATGTAAATAATCCATTTTGATTATATTTTCTCCATTATTCCCTCCTATAAATCCCCTTCTTCCTAACAAAGGATGTGTTTTTGTATTACATGGATTTGGATGTAATTCTGTCATTTACTAGGTGGAAACATCACTTAACCACTTTGAGACTTAGAGTCCATATTTGAATAAGGGGCATAATAGTGGTACCTGTTTAGATTAATTTATTAAACAAACATTTAGTGTATAAGTCATCTTTCAAGCACTGTGGCCATAGTAATAAGTAGAACAGGAGAATTCATGTCCTTATGGAACTGGAGCTTATAGTCACAAGGCTGTGAGAGGCTCAGATAAGACAATGATGAATCTCTATTATGTTTTTTCCTTTTTTTAAAATTCAGATTTCTTTATTTTATCCTATGTGTATAAATGCTTTGCTTGCATGTATGTATGTACATCACATGAGCACAGTGTCTCCAGAAGTGAGAAGGTGGCACTGGATCCCCTGGAACTAGAGTTATAGATAGTTGTGAGCTACTATGTGGATGCTGGGAATTGAACCCTCATCCTATGCAAGAGCAACAAGTGCTCTTCACCACAGACAGTAGCTGCCTCTCTTCCAGAATCCACTTTAGTCAATAAGTTCAGGAGGAAGGATGTGGTCTCATGAGTCATTCCCAATCCATAGTTTATTGATGACAGGCCTAGTCTTATGTGGGTCCAGTAGCTTATAATTTTTGAGGTTGAAAATTCAAATAACATAGAGCTGGCTCTGGTGAGGGACTCCTTGCATGATGTCATGGTAGATGTTATCATGGGTATTATGATGAGAACATGTCATGTGCTTAACCAGGAAGCTTGAGGACACGGAGAGGGTCCAGACTTGTAACCTCTCACTAGGTTTATCTCTTAAAGTTTCCACTGCTTCTCAGTATCACCACATTGGGGACAAAGCTTCCAAGACATAAATTCTTAGAGTAACACTCAAGCTATATTCAAATCATACCATATGGATACAAAATTTGAATTTAACATAATTTTTATGAAATTACCTTGCCCACAGGTTATACAAAAATAGATAAACTGCAGACCACAGTTTTACAAACCCTGGATAAATGTCTCACAGTAGATGGGAGAAAAAATATCACACTACATTTATTTTCAGATATATTATTTTACTTGATATTTATGGAGCAGATATTCTCATCATCCCCATTTTAGAGCTGAGAAAGTTAGGACTCAATGATCTCTATAAAGTAGTGACTTAACCTTGGCTGCAAGTTGGAATCACCAGGGGGTATTTTTTTTTAAAGAACAACATGCTGCACTCAGAGAAGTTCTAACTTAATTGGCTTAGAACCACAGCTCTCAACACTGGATGGCTTTGCTTACCTTCCCCTAGGGAGCTATTTGGCAATGTCAAGAGATATTTTTGGTTGTATTGATGTACCATTGGCACATAGAGGGTAGAATCTAGCTATGCTTCTCAATGGACAGAAAAAACCAGTGTAGCCCTGTCACAACAGAGACTTATCCAGTCTCAAATGTTAATAGAAGCAGAATTAATCTCAGATGTGCTGGAGGGGATGGAAGACACCAAGGAAACAGCAGGACTGACACATATAGGAACTGAAAGACAGGTCCAAGTCAAATGGGGTCCCAGTGCTGAGAAGGGAGGTGGACATGATCCCCTAATCCCTAACCCAGACAGGATACCTAATTGACAACTCCTCAAAAAGGCAAAATTAGTTTTCTCCAATGGAGTCTCACTGAGTATACAAATTACACTTAGGGCAGGCCCCATGCCCAGCAGTAGATAACCAATACAAAACTAACTCAATGGTATTTTCGGAGATTTTTTTTTGTCTCATAATACTTTGGGCATTTTTTTTTGTAATGTTACTGGCCTTTGCTTATATATTACAGTGTCCAGTTTTGTGTTTTTATGGGGTGTGTATGTGTGTGTGTGCACACATGTGTATGTATTCATTGTGTGTTTTTTTTTAAAATTCTGGTTTGTTTATTTGTTTGTTTACCTGTTTATTTTCTAAAGAGAAGGAGAGAAAGGCATGTAGTTGGATGGGCAGGGAGGATCTGGCAGGAGAGGAGGGAAGGGAAACCATGATCAGAATATATTATATGAAAAAGTTTATTTTCGGGCTGGAGAGATGGCTCAGAGGTTAAGAGCATTGGCAGCTCTTCCAGAGGTCCTGAGTTCAATTCCCAGCAACCATATGGTGGCTCACAGCCATCTATAGTGGGATCTGGTGCCCTCTTCTGGTGTGCAGGTATACATGCAGATGGAGCACTACATACATAAAATAAATAAATCTTAAAAAAATTATTAATAAAAAGAAAAGGTTTATTTTCGAAATAATTGCAGAGGTAAGGCTGGGCCCAGGCACTGACTGATAGGGATGGCTCTCCCAGTGAATTCACATTTGATAGTTTTCTGGGTGAGTCAGCAAGACCTGATACATGAAAACAGGAACTTTCTGGGAGGTGGCTGAGTCAATCCAAGATTGCACAGAGAACATTTATTAGGGATTTAGGGACAGAGCATGTGTTGGTGCTAGGAAGACAGGAAGACACACACCATGACAAGGAAGCAGAGGCTTATATGCTAATCTAGACTGTGAGCTGTCGTTAATCAAGATGTAGCAGGGCCTCCTTAAAAACAAAAACAAATGCAAAAATATACTAGTATTGTGTAAAAAAAAAGTGGTGGTGAATTACTGTCATCCCAGCACTTGAGATATTCAGTCACCAGGATTCATTATGAGGTTAGACTAGGTAGGGTATGTAGTGAAACAGACAGAGAGGGATAGCAGGGACAGAAAAGAAAAGAGAGGAGAGGAGAAGGAAGATGAGGCCAAGAGGGAGTGGGGAATAAGGGAGGAAGGAAGGAATCTGAACAGCAGTGGCTGCCACCAAAGTGTTTGGTGATTTATCTTAATGACTGTTTATTCCGTGGGGTTGGAATACATGCCAAGGTTACTTGGCAGGATAATGGAGATTATAGTCAAGAGGACTATAGCCATCTCACTGACAACTTGTGTAGTTCATATCAACAGACAATTGTGAATTTTCAAGAAAAGACAATTGCAGCTTTTCATTGGCAAGTTTTTTTTTGAGCTGCCAATAAGATACTAAATGGACCAGCTTGAGAGCCTTCTTTTGTTTTCTTGTCTACCGTGCAGACCAATATTAAGGACACCAAAGGTTTCAATAATGCTCTCCTTGATAGGTTGGAGGTTTGAGTAAAGAAACAGCTTGTGCATTTACTTGAAGTGGCTCCTGTTCCCAAACTGATTGAAGGAAGGAAGGAAGACTGAAAGCTAAGCTCTGAAAAAAGGTGTAGTTTCTTGTGCTTTCCAAAGAAAATGCATGCGTGAAGAGCCCAGAGGTGGAAATATGGAGAAATAGTGTCAGGACTGTATGCTATTTTCTAGACCAGGCTAATGAGATGGGGTTAGGCTAGAGAACATAAGTGGAGGTTAAATAGAGCATGCAGAAAGCACTCCAGAGAGATACTGGGAAGATTCATAATGCAAGGATTCCAAATAATGTAATAGCAGGGTGGAAGAAAAACGCTGTGTGGCAATGTTTCACAAGGTTCTTTGACTAGCTACAATAAAACTACCTACTGTACTTGTTTAAAATACAGATTTTTCAGGTCCAGCTGAGGTTTTGTGTGTGTGTGTGTGTGTGTGTGTGTGTGTGTGTGTGTGTGTTTGTATTTTTGTGCACATGTATGTGCAGGCCAGAGGTTGTATGCAGAGGTTGCCATTGATCATTGATGTCTTTCTTTTTTCTATTTCTTTCTTTCTTTCTTTCTTTCTTTCTTTCTTTCTTTCTTTCTTTCTTTCTTTCTTTCTTTCTTTCTTTCTTTCTTTCTT